GGGGGGGAGGCTACAATTTATGCGTTCCTGCAGTTCACCTACAGAACATGTCTGCTACTGTCCCTTCCTATCCCCACTGCCCTCCCCCTACTTAATTTACCCTTTTTTTTAATGCCATATGAAGCATGATGCTCCCATTTCATTCCATTCCAATTATTTTTGAAGGTGAAATTCTATTGGATTGCCTCTGGCTGAAGTGAAATGAAATACCCTAATATTTAATTTAATTTCTAAATACATTTAAACTTCTCTCCTACGACAAGTATAACTTGTCGCTCTTTCATTCATTTTTATCAGATCTCTCTGAGGCATTTGAAAGATCACGAGTCGCTGAAGTATATTTAATTGAAAGTTCTATAATGTATCGTATCATGGAGTTTAATTTCAATGCTCCCACCATTTTATTGAATATCATTTAACATAATGTAACTCCAGACAAAGCTAATCAATTTAAGAAAATGGTATACCTTGTTCTGATTTTGATGGGCCTATCCTACCTGAGTTTGCGAAATTGGCTATAATATTGTTCGGTCTCTTGCAAGTCCATGGCCATTGTGAAAATAAGTTGTGTGTATGATAATCGTTTTGACAAGTCCTATTGAAAGTTTAGGTGACTTCCGATCATTCTACAAGTACACACCATTACATTTTGTTAAAATAACAAAATTCAAAATTAGGATTTTTTTAGAAGTTAAAAATTAAAAGTGTAATACAAGATTTGGATTCCTCTTTCAAAATTAAAAAGGCAATGTCCTATGCTCAAAGCCGATCAGAGTCGAAATAGCAAAGTTATTGGTCCCCAAACTGACAAAAGTGCCAAAAACGACCAAAATCTCAATTTGATGGGGAATATCTCTCCCATTTTGATTCCAATCGTCTTGGAGCATAAAACATTTTCGTTTTCTTTTCTCAAGATGAACCCGTAACATAGGTTACCTTTTCACATTTTTCCCAAACTAGTAGCCCCCCTCCCCCTTCTTACGTACTTACGTACGTAAACCATTCGAAATATCACTTTCGTTTCTTCTCACCGGACACTCGCGAAACTTCGTTGGTCGAGTTCCGCAACTCTAAAACTTAAAATATCACACTCTGTCTGACAATCTGACATTTTGATCACTTGTCAGAGAGTAAGAAAGTCTCGAAGTGGCGCAGACACCGTTCGGGCATGCGGGGAGCAGGGGTGGCTCTCACTCAGGTTAGCCAACGTAACAACAAAAAGCCGCTGCTTTTCAAATTCAAAAGTTAAATATTTAAACTCAAACCTTTACGAACGAAAAGCTCCCACTTGTTTTTCCTTGAATTATAGATGTTTAATCAAACTCACATTCCGTCCATGGACAAGCCGTTTTCCAGAAAAAGAGGAACGTAAACACAGACAGACAGACAGACTCACGACGGAGACATCGCCTGACCCCTCATCGACTTGGACTGAGCTTCGCTCAGCGATCATGGCGGAAATAAAGTCCCGCGCTAAACAACGCGTCACGGCTGCAGCGGCAGCGCCCCAGTTAAATAAACATCCACGAACACTGGAAAAAGAAAGGTGCTAAGAGTCGTGCCTTCCCAGGGGTGAGAAAGAAATTGTCAGTTTAGTGCCTCTATAAGAAGCACCAATGGGGCCCTGTGCTAAAAATTATATTGCCTTTGTAAAGGCACTACTATACCTTCAGTAGCCCTTTAAAGGTAGACTTGCCTGCCACCTTGGTTGTTCCACTGAAGTGATTAAAGGAAATTCGGGGGGGGGGGGGCAGCTGCCAGAACAGCGACACGTTGCGCGGGGTCGCTCACGCCCTGCCTGGGCCTCGCGTGGAGTCTCCACTGGCCCTCGGCCGCCCCCGGAGAGGCAGGAGGAGGGCTCGCCGTACTACATGTTACCGGGGAACTTGGCTTGGCGAGGCCACCCCCTCTGGCCCCCTCCCTCTCCAGGTCTCCTACAGTGATACCAACTCCCGCGGGGGCCGGGCCCGGGTCGGCAGGGGTGTGATGCGGCGCGGCGTCGTCGCCGTCTCGCCTGCGAAGTTGGCCCAGTCGCACCGCGCCGTCTCACCTTCCCGCGCCTCGCTCGCGCCTCGCTCGAGCCCCGCTCTATGCTTTTCTTGGAACACACTGACGCGTGCAAGCGTGTTCTAATTCAACAAGCTAGCGCAAGCTAGTTGAAGGCGCGGAGACGTGACTAGCGTGCCCCGACCCGTGCTCCTCTCCCAACTAAAAGTTAAACTCCAAACCACAGTGCAGTGACTGAGGCGGGGGAGGGGGAGGGGGGCGGACGGTACATTGACAACAGTCCAATGATGTAAAGAGCTAGTGTGATGCGAAAGAAGATGGGTGACTGAGTGAATAGCGCAACCCCAAAGAAGCTGCACGAATGAGGGTGACTTGCGAGGGTATCCGCGAATCCTCGCGTCTTCGCGAGTCACCTACCTCGACGCTGATACCGAAAAGTTCAACACTTCATTTACATTGGGAAACCCAAGGTGCTAAGTCGTGCCATTCCGGGGGTAAAAAAAATGGTCAGTTTAGTTGTGCTGAAGAGCAATGAAAGGTGCTAAAAATAGTGCGTTTAGCGGTTTTAGTGCCTTATTTAATGGTTATGGAGGCACTAAGCCTTTAAAAACTTCCAATGGTAGGACTAAGGACCTTTTTTTCCAGTGTATAAATATACTTTGTTCTTCGCCAAGATCTTATAGAAATTACACCTCTGCTAATTTTGAGATTAATTCGACCATGTGGGAAATTACGAGCGTTTGACGCCAGCAATACTCGAGATAGGCCACCTCGCACTACACGCATGCAAGACAGGCAAAATGTTGCCTGCCTATCAGGCGCTATCATACCTTGCAACCTTACATTGGCCGAACTTGGTAATTACGCAGATGACGGACGCAACTTCTGGATGATATGATCATAGCAATCATTTAATTTATGTTAAAGATCGAGTTCATTCCTTGGCGCAAAATTAATTTTGTGTTAGTTACTTCCTTGTTGTTGTTTTTTTTTTTACTTTTTGTTTTTCATTTGCTTGCAGTTTATCAGAATCAGTTAAAGACTTGACTTGAAGATAACATGCGTTAATATATTCCAAAATTTGATTGGTTTGCTAATGCAGAAAATATTTTGAACTGAAAACATGCACTTTCCCAGTCAACTGAAAAATATGAAAGTGATGCCAATTGACATGAAGAGAATCATTTTGACCGTGTATTGATCTCAAGTTAATCGAATTTTTTGGTCAAAATTATGTTGAAGTGACACAACTCTGATCTTTTTCTGTTGACTGGCTTAACAGCTCTAAAATGGGTTGATTACCCTTAGCCATGTAGGATATTGCACCATTGTTTTCCATAGTAGTGTTGTTTTGGCTTTCAAGTTACGTTGACATAAGAAGCTTTCAGGATGACTAAATTTTGAAACTGACATCACTATGATTATTTTGACAAACCAGTCAAAAGTGTTTCTCCCATTTTAAATCTCTTTTGGGGCACTTGCAGCACCTAATTCCGTGAATCCATTATTAGTTTTGGTGAACCATTAAACATTGTATATGTATAACTATATAATTATTTTATTTTCCTCCTATTTTTTCCTGCTCTAGTTTTAATTTTTGGGAGTATAATTCAGCACACGTTTAGGTGATCAACCCAAATAAAGATAAACAAAATGGTTTGTGGGTCCGATTAACAAAGAATTAAAAAGGCAAGAATGATCCGTACTTATACCTGTCTTTAAAAAAGAATGCAGTGTTTTTGGAGCTTAGTATTCTCTTTGTCTGGTGACTGGTGTACTATAGCAAGACACTAGAGTTCATCACATCTTATGTATGTTCTGTATACAGGGTGAAATGGCTCTGCAGTACTTCAGGCACCAAAAGAGACAACCATTAACACTGAGTGAACAGTCTTTAGCTCTATTGAGTAAGTAACAAACATCACATTGATCACATCAAAGAATCACTTGGATTGGTCCTTTTTCAATTGACGCAGTTTATCATATTTTGGTGCTAATAACATCATTTTCATTTTCCATAAGTCCTCTTCACTACCACTTTCTCTGAATTTTGAGCGTAATTTGATGTATTCTTGGATGCACTCATTTTCTACCTCATCTATCTTGGCAGGATTATAGTACGACGATTTACACTCATGCATTGCTATCTCCGCAGTTTTGCATTCTACTTCCTCTTGCCCGAGCCGACATTGGTTGACACAGTTGTAAAACTCTGTAAAGAAAAAAAAAGAAAAAAGAGTAAAATTTAAAAGAAAAGAATTACCAGTTGTAATATTTGAGAAAAATTCATTTCTGGACATATTTGCAAGAAATAACTAGTATAACTAAGTCCTTTGTTCCCTCAAAGTATCTTTTAAAAACAAGTCTAACTTACTCTCTGTAACATCTAGACATTTTTCGTAACGGACCTTTCTCCAAATCATAGGAGGAAATAAGTATTTTTCCTCTTCTCTAAGGGATGTATCAGCAGGATCACCTGTTCAAGGATAAAATCTTGTTTAAAATGAATTGAAATTTCCTGAATTGAAAAGAGAATGGAGTATAAAGTATACTGTGTAAAGAGACAGTAGTATCCATCAGGCATGACTGCTCTCATGAAAATACAATGAAACCTGGATAGTACAAATACTTCCACGTCAAATTTGTTATATCAGAGTGCCTTGATAAAAAGATTACCTGGATATAACACACAGACACCCCAGTCAGTAGCAAATCTTCTACTTTCCAGGTTTCAATGCAGATCCGTGCAATTAAATTGTAAGTTGATTCAATTATCAATTATTGAAATAATTCTTATTAATGCATGAGCTTTGAATTTAATTGAGCTTATTGATCATCAAGAAGTTAAAGAAATTCAGCAGCAGTTTGTGTTTTGTTACTGATTTGGGGTCAGCAGTAATGGTGACCAAGTGTCGTACTTGGCCTCAGAAGTTTAGAAACATCAATGCTTTGACATAAGCAAGTGCCTTAAATTTAGAAAATCAATTTTCAGTGACCAATAAAGGTCATTAGGCAAAATTTTGAGGAGTAATATACAGATACAAATGTGTTGTTGATTAAAAACTACAGACAATTGCAATTGCCTACAGTAAAAAAATATTTATGTAGCTTTTTGTAATTAACTAGTTTTGTTCCACTAGCGATTTAGCAATGGAAAAAGAAGACTGCATCCTCTAATGGGTAATAATTCCTCTACATTTATAGCTATCTCCATGCCGCTCGATTTAAAACTGTACTCAAACAGTGCAATCTTCACAATGTTTTAGAATATTATCCATTTGAACATGCGGTGCGTAATGGGTCTAACAAAGTTTATTCAAAGTCTACAATTATGACCCACGCTTCTTAATAATTTTACAAATAGGAAAAGGCACTGATTCAGCAATAGTATTTGATTGATTGTAAGAATGTGTTGTAGTTAAAGTTAAAATGTATAATAATACCATATCCATGAGGGCCACCACCAATCTTTTCGTGTAGTGTGTCTTCCAGCGATGGATCTCGAAGAAAATTTGTTACAGTATCATAGTACTGTGAGAAGAAGTCATCTTTTGCTTTCCAAGCAGCATTGAATCTTGTTGTAAACTGCAGCCACAATCTAGACCATTCATTGCTGTCCATTTCAACTATAAAGAAACTGTACCTAAAATAAAGAATGACAGAATGAAAGTTAGTGACAGGAGACAATCAAAATGGGAGGACAAAACTTTCTGTGTTCAGAGGTATTCTAAAAAGTGACAAATAAAGTTCAATACAGAAAAACGTGAGTTTCCTACCACAAGACGACCACAGAAACAAGAATTGAAATTTAAAGGTTATACGTCGTCTGCTGTGTATTTGCGTGACTGTACACAGACTGTTGGCAGCAGCAAATCGCAGGCAGGGATATGGTGGATTTGGCCTGTTCAAACATTTGTGGCTTTCTTCCACTAACAAAAATCTTTTCTGAGTTTTACTGTTTTTCGAAGAAATCCATGGAAGTCAACGTTATTGATCTCAGAATTTTGGGGGAGAAATGGTAAGTTGGCACTAGTTTTTGGCGGGATATATGTATTAGGTTATTAAGTGCCTACATGAAGATGAAGGAAATCAACTCGTAAAAATCACTTGGACTCATTCGCAGCCTTTTAATGCCACGGTTGATCCCATTTCCATGATACTGCCACCCATCCTTCCACCCAGCCAGGAATGCTACCATGACATTTCTGGCTGGGATGACCCCGTGACATGGGACGGATCATGGGTTATTGGGGCTGGGATCCTCATTACACGGTCAAAAGTTACAAATAATTTCGGAGAGCAAATAAAAGTTTTCGTGTTGCGTGGATTCTACGTCGAGTTTATATGTAATTTGCATGGTAGATTCAAGTGACTTCATGTCGCAGTGCGTGGACTAGATTACGTCGACGTGAAGTTGCCCGTGGGGTAGAGTTAGAGTGAGTAGATGGCTTTTTTGTCAAATGTTAACAGAAGAAATCTACTGAAATTCGCGTTTATTTTTTGAGGTTTGCCAAGGGTGCATTTTTTACGTATTATAATTGTTTCTCGAATTGAGTCGTGGTCAATTTTTAGATCGAAAATAAGATGGCATTCCCCGTCGAGACAACACCGATCCCAACTCCAACTTCTGCAATGTATTAAAGGTTTTTTTTTTTTGTTCACCGATATTATCTCTCGTGGTCTGTTCAGTATATTTTCGTTATGTTGTAGCTACCGGCATATTATTCGTAAGGTGACCCCACAATGGGAATGGGTGACACTGAGAAAAAAATATGTCTGAGCACTACACGTTTAGTACACAGCGATGATTTTTCGTTGCACTATTCGTCAGCGCTGGGAGCTAAACGTAGCATCCCAGGCAAAGAAAATTTAGAGAATAGCACTGAAACTCACTAGAAAGGGCACTTTGCCATTTTGAGCGGGGACAAAAGTCAGGAGAATTAGATGAACGTTTAGTGCCCAGAAAGAAATATTTTTCTCAGTGCACTTCGCACCCGTCCGTTCGTCACGTCGCCGCGTCGGTTGCGTCGGGTGCGACAAGTCACCATTGTAGGCCACCTAGCAAGATGCTTTGCTAATGAATAACTCCCAAAACACGCGGATTTAAAAACGAGCCGACAACTAATCAGTAAATTTTATTTGTACTGAAGCCAGTCTTGACCAATAATTTACGTAAAACTACTCGCTAGTGTTGCGCCAGCTTGGACGTCAGGTAAGGTTGCAGGAAAGGGTTGCTCTCGAAAGAGAAGCCGGCGGCCGGCGAGTAGCCGCTCAGGGTGGACACGCTGGGCGCGCTGTTGAACTTGTTGAGGACGCTGTAGGCGGGCGTGTTGCGGCGGCCCCACTTGGCGGCGGGGGCGGGCACGTCGGAGGACACCTTCACGCCGTCGGGCAGGATCACGAAGTCGCCGACCAGGGCGAGGCGCACCAGGTCGCGCGAGCTCAGGTCGTCGCGGTTGACGACGAGCAGCGTGGGGAACGAGTAGAAGTCGCCGTGCAGGCGGGCCGACTCGGCCAGCGTGAAGTGGTGCGGCAGCACGAAGCGCGTGATGGGCATGTCGACCTGCGGCAGCGCCACGAAGTTGGAGCCGGACAGCAGCACGCCGAGCTTCTCGGGCCCGGCGAGCATGTGCGAGAGCAGGAAGCGCCGGTCCTCGGTGAACGGCAGGCTCCTCAGCCCGCTGCAGAGAGGGAGAGAGGAGGCCCTCGTTAGCGTAGGGGACAACACAACAGGAGGTGAAGCATTCTGTAACGACTAGAGGGACACGTACTCTTTGATGAGGAAGGCGGCGAGCTCGGGCTTGGCATCCTGCTGCACGGCGAGGATGAAGGGCGCGTCGTACAGCGCCCTCCAGCCCAGGGCCTCCTGGGTGGCGAGCCCGTCGGCGGGCTGGTCGCCGTAGCGGACGCCCACGAGGGGCGCGCCGTACACGGGCAGGTGGCGGAACTCCTGCACCACGATGGGCTCGGGGTTGGCGGCGGCGAGGCCGGCGAGCGCGGCGGCGGCGAGCAGCAGAAGCATGGTGGGCGGCGGGCGTGCGAGTGGGACGCGGTGTCGCGGGTCACCCTCGCCTTTATAGGGCCCCGGCCAGCCCCCGAGGTGCGCACTGAGATAAGTGCTGGGGTGGCCGGCGGCGGCCCGGGGCTGGTCCACGCCGTCCACGCCCGCCGCCGGGGAAGGCCGTCCGCCGCCCGCACGCAGGGAGGGGGTTGGGCGGGGGGATCGCGCCGGGTCGGTGCGCTTTGTGGCCCGGCACTGTGGAAATGCCCGGGCCGACGAGCAGCGCCCGGAGCATGCATTGCTCGCGGTGCGCGGTGCGCTGCGGTGCGCTGCTGTGCGCTGCGGTGCGTTGCGGTGGGCCGCGGGGCGAGGCAGTCGTGAGGCACCGCCGCTCGGCGGTCAGTCGCCCAGTGGCTCGCCCGAGGTCTCGTCTACCATCCATTCACCTGTAGTACACACTTCAATCAAACCACGTGCTATTTTCGGCTCGAGAATGTTTTTTACTTTCGTTTGATAGGCATGAACACGTTCAAGTGCAGCGTTATCCCCGGTGACCACTATGTGGTCACTGTGTGGTCAAAGTCAAACTCTTCTGTCAAATCTCAGGCACCAAAAAAATGAGCCGCACTGAACGTGTGGAGCGAGGTTTGAAAATCTAGGCTCATACTAGACCAATTTTCCAGAATTGTCATTCCAAATGGGACGACGGAAAGGAACGTCGCTCAAAAGAGGAACTATAAATAAATGTCATTACTTTTTGGATCAAACCGGATCAAACTCATTACTCTCGGTGTGTTTTTAACAAGGCATAGCCCCTGCCACTATAGCTCACCTCTTCGCTCCTGTGTCTTACTACCCCTCGCCGCCAGAACAAAGCAAAAGAGGAAGGCACAGTAGGCCCGGAGCGGTGCGCATCAGTCTGAGATGCGAAGGTTTTTTTTTTTTCTGAGAGGGGCAGGAAGAGGCTCGTGGATGTGGCAAAGCTCACCTCAATCTGCGCCCCTGTGTGTGAGTG